AATGATTTTAAAAATAAGCAAAAATGAAACAAATACAAATACACAGACACACAGCAAGAAGGGCTGGGACTTGCAGGCCCAGGCATGCCCAGATCCAGTGCAGGGTCAGCTCCATGCTTCTGAAGGCCAGCCAGCTCCAGTGCTGTCGCCCTTCCCACCAGGACCGAGTCTACATTGGCAAGGCCCCTCCCTGAGCAAGACAGGGAAGAGAGAGGAGGGAAGTTCCACGACTAAAGCCCACTGTTTCTTGGAGGGTGCTCCGTCTCCACAAGCTTATTAAGTCTACAGATTCTTTGACTTCACCCTTCGCTTATTGAATCTGAGTCTGTGCGTGGGACACTGAAGTGGTCATCTTTAACAGTATTGAGTTGGAACCATATCAACTGGGAACTCGTCTACTGACGTCAAAGGTGGCAGACGGAGCGGGCCCAGCGACTCAGAGGCAGGCAGTCCTGGGCTCTGCTTCCATAGAGATGACAGTCAAGAAAAGCCCACGGAGCAGTTCTGCTCTGTTACACGTGCACGCGTCATGAGTGGGAATGGATTTACTGTCAGTGAGTTTGGTTTGGGTTGGTTCAGTTAATGGGTTTTAGGACTTTGAGAATTTGGACTTTTTCCTTCCAGGGGAGACAACTGACAAGTGCCCTCAGCATTTCCCCACCCCTTTGGGACCCTGCACATTGCTGACAGCGCTTTCTGCCCTCCGGTGAAGCAGGTGCCTGGCTCTAGGCTCAAGAGATCTGCCAAATATTTTCCGGCATCCCGGAACTTCCTGTTCTTCCTGGCAACTTTGGCATAGGCGTGGGGCAGTCAGGAAGCGGGGGAGGCATATGCCCAGTTGGGACAACTTGGCAATTGACCCCACGTGCAGACAGACTGTGCTGGAGAAGGGACCAGGAAGCTCTGGCTGCCAGCGCTGCACAGCTACAGAGAAGGTGTACACCCTGGCAGCTGGCCCTGGGACCTGCCCTCTGAAATGTGTCTCCCACCATAGAGGGTAGTGGGCTTGTAACCTTTCCCTGGCTGCCCCACGGCCATTCTAACTTTCTCTTTCTGGGGACACAGGCTGCTCTCACGAAATCCTTCTTCTGACTTTCGAAAATGAAAGAGGCGCCAGGGACTGCTGGACCAAGAGGATCACTGCTGGCCCCACAAGAGCTCCCCCTTCCCCAGCTTCTCCACACAGGGCAGTCACAGTCAAATCAACACTTGCTATGTCCACCAAAAAGACCAGTCAGACTCACTGCCATCGAGCGGATTCCGACTCACAGGGACCCTAAAGGGCAGCGAAGCACTGGCTCTGTAGGTTGCTAAGACTGTAACTCTTCAGGGGAGTAGACAGCCTCGTCTTTCTCTCACTGGTAATGTCTAAACAGTTCAAAATCAACTTCCTCTAGATGGTGCCCTGAGACTACTGCTCCGGTATAACTGTGGAGCCTGCAGCATGGATAGAACCTTGAACCCATTTGTCTTCTTAGGTGGTGCAGCTTCCTCTTAGTACTGAATTACTTGGCAGTGGTTAAAGCCTTTGACCCCAAGGGTAAAAAAATGGTTTGGCTGCTCCTCAGGAGAAAAGTGAGGCTCTCTACTCCTGTAAAGATTTACAGCCTCGAAAAGTCTAGGGAGCAGTTCTACCCTGTCCCATAGAGCACTGAGTCTGAGTTTGCTTGATGGTAGTTGCCTTGGTTTGGTTGTTCTGAAATAGGGCCTCAGAATCTGCATCTTACACAAACAACTCAATATGTGGAGCGTCTATAGGTCTATGGAGCATACCTGAGGCAGAAGTTTAAATACACCTCAAGGAGTGAATGACTGATTTTGAGATTTTCATAAAATGGTTGGGGGATTGGTGGTTGAGTTGGGAAAGAAAGTTTAAGGCCTTGGGAAGGGGAAAAACAACAATAGAATACAAGTACTGAAAGAGACACGTGTTACAAGGAGTAGGCCATCAAAGAAAAATACATCTAAACAAAACGAAATCCTGCCATTCCTCTCTGTGTGTCACGTGACACCTGAGCTCCACTCAGCCCTTTCTGAGCCCCTGCCTGATCAGAGAACCTGAAGGCCTCTGCTTCACCAGCCGTGCTGGCTTTCTCCTGCTGTGCTTTTAAAACAGGAGTGACGCTCAGAGAATGAGATCTGCTTTGAGAATTGAGCATGGCATCCGATTTCTGCCAGAACACACACTTTCTTCATTCCAAGGATGCATCAGGACTGGGGAAGTACTTCTTTATTCATCCAACGCGCATCCGTTTGGGATGGGTCAAACCTTTCTTATTTGAGTCTACATCTTTTGTCACACAACAGCACCCAGAGGAGGCAATTCTTATTGTATTTGATCCTGTAGACATTAAGGTAAAACACTTAACGTTATCAACTGGTATTTTCACTTTTGTTTTGTTTCTCAATTCAATCTTTCTAAAGCCAGATCCAAATTTTAAATGTGGAGGATGGTGTGGCAATGAATTAAAAATGAACAAACAATCCTATAGGTTTAATGCAATGTACCTGCGAGTTTGGGTCACTCATACACTCTGCTTGAATCCTTTTCTAACTTCCCTCACTCCATATTCTGTACCCCTAATCAATGACACCTCTCCTTCCTTATTTCTACAACCTCCTGGCCCCACGGATCCAAAAAACCCAGGATGTCATGTCAACACTGAGTCTTCTAAAGCGACCCAAGGACTATATTACACAATTGTACTCATATTTCCTTAGCGATAGCAAGACCTCGCCTAGCATGTGCCTTGTGTCGGGTGTTGCTCTAGAAACTTTGCAAAGAATGTCTCACTTAATCCTCACAGAAAGCCTTTAAGATAAGTGGTTTTCTCAACTGTGACCAGTCTACTTTAGGGTGGAGGAAATTGTGGCACAGAAAGACGAAGTAACTTGCACAAGGTCAAGTGGTGCGTAAGTGGTAGAGCAGGGACTCTAACCCTGACTCTGTGTGCTCTTAGCATGATGTTATGTTGCTTATCTAAGAAAGCAAAACAAAGCAAGCAAAATCAAAGTCAACCCAATTTCTCCAAAGACACACCAAAAATAAAGACAAAAAACGATTCTTCAAACAATGATTCCCTTTTCACGGACATTTCAGAAGAGGAGACTGAGTCTAGCACTCTTATTTGACTCTACCCCATGTAAAGACAATCACCTCATGGTTCTTCTATCCTTAATATCATCATTCATACATTCCAATAAGCTACCGGACCTGTTAATAGTAACCCAGCCACAACAACCAACATTTACTCAGCACCTGCCAGACAGGACTCATTGAGTCCTCCCCCTACTGAAGGCTGGTCTCCCAGCATCTGTGCCAAACATTGACACTGAAAAGAGCTACCTTTCAAACATCATTTGTTCCCAGCAGTGTGTCTAGGAGTCCACACAGAATGACTGCTTCCTCTTTGTGGATTCCGTCTCTTACAACTGCCGCTCAGGAAATGCCTGGATGAAAGAAATCATGGGGGTGGGGGGTGTCTTCCTAGAATTAGCCTATGTGGTGGGACAAGCATTCACTGGGCAGTTCTGTGCCGGAACTGGAATGTTGACTTTCCCACCTGTTAGCCGTGTGACCCAGGACAGGTCACACCTTTCTGAATAGATTTCCTAATTCTCTCTCTCTCTCTTTGAGGTCCAATCGGAATAATGTCTATGAGGATAAATAAGCTGTCAAGTGCTAGTAAAACATATGGTAATGTTAAAGATCGTTTTAAATAAGTAGAATAATAATAATTATATTGATAACCCTAAGGCAACTTGGCTATCTACTGTTTCCTCTTTCCTTGCCTGCCTCCAAGTGAACTTTATAAGGGGCAGGACTAGGTCTTATTCATTTGTGTCCCCTCAAACGGTTTCTGGGATATAAGTAGTCATTGTTGGGTGCCTCTGAGTCAATTTTCATCACGTAGTGACCCGACTTAACAGAGGGGAACGTGCTCATAAGGTTTCCTAGACTGGAACCTTGCCCATCACAGATGGCACCGTCTTTCTTCCACTCAGGGCGCCTCCTGGTACACAGGGAGGAATCCATTCGATGCATGCTTCTTGAAGGAATGAATACATGATTGGGCATTTCCAAGGACTCGCAAAGCTGGAGACAGGGGAGAGCTGTCCACAGACCTGCTTCAACGACGTGGTCCATCGTCGGGAAGCGCTTGTACACGGCGGTGCTCACGGAGCGGAAGATGAGCAGCGACGTGAGGTTGACGTAGCGCATCATCGTCCTCCGGAGCAGGCGCCCGTACTCGTCGCTGCCGTGCACGCTGCTGGAGATGAGGAACATCAGCCTGTCCGGCCAGGGCAGATTCACGAACTGGTTCCACCACCGGTTCACTACCAAAGTCACATAAAACCCTGGGGAACGACAAGAAATTATGAACCCATTTCTTTGGGCAGATGTGGCGACACTGATGCTTTTAGCGGAAGTTTAGCCGATTTGGGAGGGGCTGGGGTCTAACAGGATGTTATCCAGATGGAATGCTTTTGCCCTCCAGGGGGAGGAAAAGTGCCTGGTGAGGATTAGAACTCCTATGTTGGCTGCAAAAAGGGAGTTAGTGGAGGGAAGGCGTAATTGTCCAAGAGCACATGACCTCAAACTTGCTGGGTTAAGTTAGCGAAGCAGCCCTGAAGGCAAACCTTCGGGAGGACTGTGGGTCCTTTGCAAGCAGTGCCTTTGGGGCATGCCTCTCAGCTTGGCTACACGCCCATGCAGTCATCGGCGGCATCCTAACGGAGACAGCTGTGTGGCTGCAATCTGCGTGGGACCTGTACTTACCAAGCACAAAGGTTACTGGAATTTGTTCAGCATATCTGTCACAGTAAATTGATAATTTTTCAAAGTAACGTTTTTGGGCTCCTGTAAGTAACAATCTGGAGCAAAAATAAAATGCACACAGCCCTTTATGATATTATACTTCTGCACCTGCTTTGCAAGTGACATTCAGTGCAAACAACTAAGCACAAATAATCTTAATTTTGCTTTTTAAAAAATGAGCAATCACTTTTTTCTTGTTTTACCTGAACTGATGTGTCTCAAAAGCTTTCAAATTGCTTAATTTGAGCACTAATGCTCTTAGTACATAAATATTAATATTGGCTATTAGACAGTGGGGCTTATGAACCATTTTAATTAAAAATTTTTTTACAACTTTTGTGTGATCAATACATTGGGTTTGGAGAAGAATCTGAATTAGGGTTACTCTGAGCTATTCGTTGAATAATAACCTTGAATTGAATTTCCTGCTCTTTCTCCTGAATACGCCATTTAGTAGTACATTCTTGATTATACATGCTGTATTTCAGGGGCTACTTTAATTATTTGAAAGCCCGCAATTATTTTAAATATAAATATAAATCAGGCTTCACATTAGGAAAGGAAAAAATTATAACTACATTAAATTACTGTCTCAAAGTTTATATTATAGAATTGGTCCAACCTACCCAAACCCATTTTCTGGTCATATTAAATCTAAGTGCATTGAATGGGACAATTATTGTTATTTATATGGTAGGAAGGAGATTCAGAGTTCGTAGAAATGTCAGAAGTCAGGTTAATAATAATGATCAAAATAAGGAGAACTAAATTGACATAAATTAGTGAGTGTGGCCATTCCATGGGAACAGGCGTTTCTAGGAAAGGTCCATTATGACAAGTGGTGAAGGTTCAACTACCTAATAGAACTTAGTTAAAGGAGGTGGGGAAATAAAGGAGATAACAGTGAGCAACCAATAAGATTGCAGAGGAAGAACTGGGGCGGGGGTGGGGGTCGGCGGTGTTGGTAGTACTGACAAAGAAGGTGTGCGGGCGTGGTGGAAGACCTACCAGCCATATTGAACTCAAGAAAGGCTGACAAGAGGCAGCAACTGCTGGCCTATCAAGGTCTATCCAGGTCACGCTGATGACGAGTGCTAGCCAGACTGTTTCTGCGCTTCAAATCAAATGGTCAAAGAGGATTTAAATGTGGAGAACATGGACACAAGGATCAGACAAACCCAGGTTGCCATTTGCAGATTTGTACCTTCAGCATACTTTAAAATTACAGTCAGCCCCCGAAATCCAAGACTTATATAAAGCAGAAGCCTGTCAAAGAAGGAACACGTAAATATATGTTCCACTAAAACTAGGGATAGAAAAGTGGTGACATTTCACTCTGTCAAAAGAAAATTCACAAGACCCAGTCCCCTTGAATTCTGGCTGTCATAGTATTTAGAGCCTTTGTTTTCCTATTGTAATAAAACCTATGTCGCAGGGGTGTTGTAAGGCTTAAATAATACGTATAATGAAAGCAAGACCACTTAAGAGATGGCCGTGTCATTAAGTGACAATAAATGTTTGCTATTAACAAGTTTGCAGAGAAAATATTTAATAGGCAAAATATCTTTTTTTAATTGTAATTTTTAAATCATTTTTTGAGGGCCCATATAACTCTTATCACAATCCATACATACATCAATTGTTTAAAGCACATTTGTACATTCATTACACTAGGCAAAATATTTTAATACCTAGAAAGAACTACAGGCTACATGAAACAAATGTCATTGCTGAGATCAAATGGATCTTAGCTATTAAAGTAGAGAATACCAGAAATATTACCAGAAATATGTTTACCTGTGTTTTATTGATTATTCACGACTGTATAGCTCATAAGAGATTATAAGTATCATTAAGAAGATTGTGAATTCCAGAACACTTAACTGTGCTCATACAGAACCCGAACACAGACAACGGGGCAGTTGTTTCTGGTTTAATATGAAGAATAGTGGGCATCAAGGATGTATCCTTTCACCATACTTATCCAATCTAAATGCTAAGCAAATAATCGGAGAAGCTGAATTATATGAAGAAGAATTGGAGAGAGATTCAGTATCAATTTGTGATATGCTGATGATACAATTTTGCTGGCTGAAGGTAAAGAAGACTTAAGGCATGCACTCAGTGATAAAGATCAAAGACTGTAGTCTTCAGTATGGATTACAACCCAATGTAAAAACAAACAAAAATGCGCACAACTGGACCAATATCATGATCAATAGTGAAACAACTGAAGTTGTCAAGGACTTAATTTTTCTTAGATCTACAATCAATGTCAATGGAAGCCTTAGCCAAGAAATCAAACAATATATCGAATTGAGAAAATCTGGCAAAAGCATGGAGTGGAAACCCAATGCCCATCTGTAGACAATTGGACATCCCCTCACAGAGGGGTTATAGGGAAGAGATGAGCCAGTTAGGGTGCAGTATAGCACCCATGAAACACTCAACTTCCCTCTAGTTCTTTGGTGCTTCCTTCCCTCCATTTTCATGACCTCAATGCTAGCTTACAAATTGGATTAGACCAGAGCATGCACACTGCTACAGATAATAAATAGCCCACAACACAGGGAATCCAGGATAGATAACCCCCTCAGGGCTAACAATGAAAGTAGAGCTACCAGGAGGATTAGAGGGGTGGGGAGGGGGAATCGATCATGAGGATCAATTTAGAACCCCCTCCCAGGGGTCAAATAATGGGAAAGTGGGTGAGGGGTGACAGAGGATGATGTAAAATATAGAAAAAAGAATCTATAACTTACCAAGGGTTCAGAGGGAGGGTAGGGGGGAGGGAGGGGGAAGAAATGGGGAGCTGATATCAGGGGCTCAAGTGGAAAGAGAATGCTTTGCAAATGATGATGGCAGTATATGTGCAAATGTGCTTGACACACTGGATGAATGTGTGGATTGTGATAAGAGATGTAAGAGCCCCCAATAAAAGTATTTATTAAAAAAACAAGTATTAAAAAGGAAAGAGGTCACTTTGAGGACCATCTGACTCAGGCCATAGTATTTAAATCACTTCTGTATGCAAAAAACTGGGCAATGAATAAGAAGGCCTGCTGAAGAATTGGTGCTTTTAAATTATGATGTTGGTAAAGAATATTGAATATACCCTGGACGGCCAGAAGAACCAATAAATGACTTGGAAGAAGTACAGCTAGGATGCACCTTAGCAGTAAGCCTGGTGAGAAGTCACCTCGTGTATCTTGGACACGTTACCAGGAGGGATCAGTCTCTGGAGAAGCACATCATGCCTGGTAAAGTAGTGGGCCAGCAAAAATGAGGAAGATCCCCCATGGGCTGGGCTGCCACATGGCTACTACAGTGGGATCAAACACAGCAACTGTTCAGAGGATGACACAGGCCTGGGGCGAGGCTTCTGTGCACATAGGGTCACTACGAGTTGGAATTGACTCAATGGCACCTAACTTAACAACAACTAAGAGACATTTTTTGTCCAATTATTAAGTTCTGATTCTATCTGATGATTTTTTTTTTACCAAGTATAATTCTTTACTCATAATAGATTTAAACAAACCAAATCAAACCACTTAGGGACATTAGTAGACATGAGAATAAAGCGGTGTATTTTCCCACAGATGTATTTGACTTGCTTGACAACTTTAGCCTATATTTTCAGTTATACCATTGTTTAAGATATTTAGACTTGACCTTAAAAAAAAAGAAAAGATGATTTGACTTAACGATTATTGTAGTAGATGTTAGTGTCTTTAGAAAAGGTACTTGCATGTAATTTTATAGGGTCTCACTAGAAGCCGAGGCCTTACGGGGCATTGCTGGCTACAATGCAACTGTTTTAAGGGCTATGCTATTCTAAGTGGCAGTAGCAGCAATAAATTCACATTAGTAAAAATAAACGAATGAGACAGTTCTCCTGGAACGGCATTGTTGTCTGCCACCATATCATATTCTGAAGGCTTGCATAGGTGATGCAGAAATAAATTGTCAACATAGTATATTATTTAAAGTGTATTTGAAAAGTTATTAGAAGCTTTAAATAAGATTTTCCTTTTAATGATAGTTTGACCAAATGTATACTATTTATATTTGTTTGGAGCATTCAAGAGTAGCAAAAGGACTCTTCCTCTTGAAGGGCATTAGCCAGATAAATGACCAGTCTTCTCCAAACAAGGCCCTGCGGCTGCAAGGAAGAATGCAGATGACAGCACAGATACCGAAACGCGCTCTGCTGTGTGCAGAGCGAAAGGAACTGCGAGGGACTAGAAAAGGTGGAAATGCAGCCTCCAACCATTAGCCTCCCGATTCTAAAATTTGGCTTCTTTCGGGGAAGCTGCATGCAAACCATTTTCATAATAAAACTCATAAAGATAACATTTTATTAAGACTATAATTTTTAGTCAGAAAAGTATGTCTTATGCATGATGTTGCTCAAATGTATCTGACAGGCTTAGGGTGTAATGTTATAAAGAATAAGCATCTGCTTTTATGAGAAAATGTCCCCAAATTGGAGGATTAAAAAGAGAAGAAATTAGTCCTTAGGGTTTTTTTCTTCTTTTCTTTCAGTTGAGGTGTTTATTGGCCAAGTTGACAGGCATTATAAACTTTGGTCATTCTAGCAAAATGACCACACTATTTATGAACAGGTTAATTACGTAAGGAATTGCTACAAGCTGTCAAATCACAAATTCAAACTACGAACGACCTGTGGAAAGAGGCACAGATACTGTGTCTATGGCCTTTGCCATTCAAAATAATTGTGCATTCAAGATCTACGGCCAAATCTTCCATTTTACACTGACAGTAACACTCTTGAAGTGGGAGAACACCTACTTAAATACCTGGTAACTAATATGGACCTGGAATTAGAGCCACCAGAACATGACGGTTAGAACCTACTTCACATCCTAAAAAAATGGTTAGCTATGGATTAAGATACCCTGTCCTGAGGAGAAGATGACATCAGAGAGGTTCGTGCAAAGGAAGTGACGTTATGCAAAAGTCAGCAGCAACCCGCGGATACAGATTTTTGAGACTGTATTCTCACGTGATCTGTGATGGCCGTATAAGGAGACATGCAAAGCAAAGTACCTGTACACCAAACTTATCGCCGTGTAAAGAATAGCAAACACAATAAATTCCCTGTATAGGAGTTTGTAGATGCTGCCTCGCCACTTGAGGAGTAACCTGTGAAATCCAAAAAAGGTCGCATTTGCCACTTTACTGGAGTAAGTGACAGTCATCGTGGGTAGTTTTGTTTCTGTCCTAGAGGAGCAAGGAGACAAGACACAACTTTTTTTAAGTGTACACTAGAGCGTGAGTCTGTATAACAAAAGAAACTCAAGCCAATAACCAGCCACCCAGATTCCCTTCCTCAGGGAAGAGAACACGTTGTACAATTTGGAAACTGAAGTTAACTTCCAACTAAGCGCTAAATCTCTTAGCCGAAGAAGGGGGGAGAGGGGGCTCCTGAAGGAATAATGTGAACCGTCTTCAAACTCGCCTTAATGGCCAAATCTTAATTTTAGATTACATAGGCATCACTCAAAGCATTTTAGAATGCATGGATAAATTAGAGAAAAGATGTTGTGATGTCATGCAGCATTTATTTTCTTCATCTACTGCAAGAATTGGGGAACTTGATAATGCTGTTTTAATGAACACTTTCAAAAGCAGTTGCCCAGCTGATGGTTGGAGTCCATTTGCTCAAGTGTTGTATAGAGGTATTGGGACCAGGAAGCCCCTGGTCAAAGTGACCCCTTTCTCTTGTTTAAGCTGGCTGTGGTGCCTCTTCACGGAGCTCAGGGCTTGGTGAGCGCGCTGCACACGTCAAAGACAGCCCACAGTGGGTCATGGTCATCTTGAGAAAGGGGCACAGTCCTGCTGGAAAGCCTTACATCAACCACTCGGGGTCACTTTCTATTTGGAATGGAACGAAACAAGGTCCTTAGTTAAGAATTTTTTTACTCAGGTTGAGGTCCCTGTGCTATGGTTGGTTTTCATACAGGTTAGTAGTTCAAACCTACCCAGCGCTTCCAGAGAGGCGAGCCCTGGCAACCTGCTGTCATAAGAAAATAAATGAGCGCAAAGAAAACTGGCTGCAGTCATTCTGTTCAGTAACCTACAGGCCGCCAGGAGTCAGATGGCCGGCAGGGATGAATAGGGTTTGGTTTCCTACTTGGGTCAGTTCCAGGGATGGGGTGCGAGGAGAACAGGGCCCTGGAGGTGAATTTCCACTATGACCGAAATCCATCACTTTTTTACTAAGACATCAATCTTTAACGTTTTGAAATAAATGGCCTGGAGCAAATACATATTTGACAATTACCCTCTACCCTCCTCAACTACCCTCTACCACAGAACAAGCGCAGAGAAAATGAGATTTTTAGAGGGGGTGGGGGAGGGAGAAATCTTTGTTTTCTCCAAAAGGAGCCATAAAGAAAGTCTTTAGAGCTACTGAGGCTGAAATCACGGCTCTTTTAGGTAGAATTCCACTAGATACAACAAATAACCTCTCCAGCAGATTTGTCATATAAAGTAGCCTGCATCACACATTTCATCCTAAACAATAAAAATGCTCTGCGTAAAGTGGGGCAAACAATCCAACTACGCGGACCTTTCCCTACCGGGTGGGGCTCTGGAGCTGCACCCACAGTATTTCTCTGGAAGCCCTAGTGCTGTCCGTCTCCAACATGCCTAATTTTAATGAAGAGCCGGGGCCTCTTGGCGGCCATTCCGGACGGCTGGGAGGCCTGCCACAAAGCCAGGGCTCCTGCTCCGGCTTTACCTTGTCTCCCTGTCCAGGCGAAAACAGCCCAAAAGAGAAGAGACGCCTGATGAATTAGGCCCATTTTATCATTTGTTTCTCGTGGGAAGAGTCCTAAAACGAAACAAATGGTCGCAAAGGACCTTCCTTCCATCCAGTAGTTCCTCCTTCTACTTAAGTGCCGGCAGGACACGAAAACCCCAGAGGTCAGAATTAAAATGCAGAGGTATACGCTTTGTGCACTAACCTATTTATGTGGGTTGCACTCCCCGACGGGAAGGAAAATCTTCCAATCTCAGGCTCCCCGTGAAGAGGGGCCTGGGGTGGGTGCTGCGCTCAGTCGGGTTTCCTGTGGTCCTCAGCAGACCCGCGGCGGGTGGCAGGCGTGGGGTGAAAGGTTTTTCCACTGGCTGAGGAGGCCTGTTTGCGCCAGCTTGCCCACTGATGACAGTGATCGCTGGGAACAAACAGAAGCAACAGCTGCTGACGAGGCTTTTCCTAATCTATAATTATAACTCCACCTGCCACCCGAAGCACCCCTTTGAATGAGCAGTCGGCGAGATGCGGAGATGCAGGCCGCTCAAGTGCCTTATTTTCACTGTGATGCTGTTCGCAGATCCAGGAAGAGAGACGTCCATTAGCCCATAAAAGGTTCTGAAGAGGCTCCACCAGCCCCGCCCCACAAAAGGGGTGGGGGGGCCGGTGGATTAGGACGGTGTTTTTTTTCACTTAATACAATAAATAAATCTTGGGAAGGCATAAACAAGGACAGATGAAAATATAGGATTTTTTTGTTTGTTTGAGAGATATTGAGAATGCACTTTCCAGAACAGCAAGACACATGAGTGTGCATTTGCACGTGTCTATTCTAAGGAGCCCGGGTAGCGCCGTGGGTTGCCTGGTGGGCTTTTGACAGCAAGGTTGGTGGTTCAAACCCAGCAGAGAAGATCTTATACAGGGACTCTGTGAGTCAGAACCAACTCCACGGCAGTGTGTGTGTGTGTGTGTGTGTGTGTAGCATAGTAACATAATTGATTCATCACATTTGTTATCCTTCCACGGTCAGCTAGTAAAAAAATAAATAGCTCAAAATGTTTCCACATAGTCCTAAGAGAATCACATCTTTTCTTCTTAAAACGAAGCTCAGTGGAATTCTTTTTAAAAAATGGAACAAGTAATCTCAGGACCAATTCCTAGGACCTTTCCAACCTTCCTGTGTAACTTGTGCAAACATTGCTATTGAACTTTAATGACTATAAAAATGTGTGCTTTCTGGAGAAAGAAATAACTAACAAATGCTTATTCTGAATTTGAGAACATTTGCATTTTAGTTTTTCTAAAGTATAAGTTTTGAGTGCACTTGCCTGTTTTGTCTTGTTTTGAAAGGAAGCCATAAGTTCCTTAGAGCAAAGATAGAAATGTGGGTGTCTGTGTTCCTGCTTCCACACCTGCTCATCATTCCAACAGTCCCTGAGCCCAGTGCATCTTCAGGATCTATTTGTGTTTATCACCCGACCTTGAGGCTCATACAGCTGTTTGTGCGTTTGTGGACCTGTAAGCGTTTTAAAGGTCTGTATGAACAGTGCTGCCCAATTTGTCTTTGGGTTGCCATCAAAAATGAAGGTCAGGCAGAGCTGATGTTCGCACAGGTTTGTAAGTTAGATCAATGGTGTCTAATCTGAACAAGTCAAAACCCCAATTCTTACGAAGCAGCAATACTGGAACCACTTTTTCAAAAGTTCACCCTTTGGGTTCTGATGAAAACATGCTCTGGCTCTGTAACTTGGCCCAATTCCCAGCAGTCATGACTGCATGCTGGGGGAGTGGTCTCCTCGATGGGGCACTGAGCAAACAGCCGGGTGCTCTCAGTCTTAAACAGGGGAATGAAGTCCAATTCCTCCGCGGGCTGTTTTGAGGCGTGACCAATTAATGCGTGCAGATAACACTCTAATCGAGTATGGGTCACTGTTGATTCATTGCATGACCAGACTCCGGTTGTGGACTCCTGAGCCCGGGGGCTGTTTCAAACAGGAACTCAAAGACGCCACTCAGAAGACAAGCCATGGCAGCTTATTTCCAACTAGTCAGCAAGTGCAAAGCTGACTAGTATCCTATTTAAAAATACCATTTCTTTCTAGAGTCTAAAGTCACACATGCTTATTCTGGAATGATGATCAAAACAACAGGTAAGGAAATCATGCCACCCAAGAAGGGTATCGGGCATTTAACATAAAGTTCATCTTTCTAGGCGTTTGTAGCAAAGATTCCCACTCCTAAAATGACTAGAAAGTCATGTTTTAGAAGCTGAGAAAATTTCAGGCTCCAGGAAATCACTTTTAAAATATCCAAACTAGAACCCACGGCTAGTGTGCAGTATGGCACTGATGAACCACATAATTATACACTAGTTCTTTAATAATTCCTCCTCTTACTATTGAGGCTGTTATTTGTTTTAGCTCATCAATCATGTTAGATTTGCGTGTGTTCATTTGTATATTTAAGATGGTTGGGTACAAGATAGTCAAGATGGATTACCCTGCAGAATCAGTAACAGGAGTAATGGTTCCCTGATGGTATTGGAAGAGAGGAGTTGGGGGATGGGGGGATATGCAAGCTGACAGCATTGATGACTCCACTCTATGGGACTGAACAACAGAATTGTATGTGAATGGATATATTGGATTGTGTAAGATATATCAGTAAAACTATTATAAATTTTTAATAAAAGAAGATAGGTGAACTAAAGCCCAATAAATACAGCAACTGGAATCATTGCTAATTGGATCTTAACAATAAATTGATTCCGTTGCTATGAGTATTTGCAATGATATGGGTCTTGAACTCTTTTATTAATGTTTCTTAAAAAGTTACTATAGAAGTAGAAAGCAAATGTTTTGAAAATGATGATGGCAACAAATGTACAAATGTGCTTGACACAATGGATGTATGTATGGATTGTGATGAGAGTTGTACAAGCCCCCAATAAAATGATTTAATAATTTTTTAAAAAGTTACCATAGGATAAAGTAAAATAAAACAAGCAAACAAAAATAGAACCCAATGCTATCAGGGGGATTCTGACTCTGAGTGACCCAGAGACAGAACTGCTCTGTCAGGCTTGGGAGGCTGTAAGCCTTTACAGAATCAAAGTAATCCATCTTCCTCCCACAGAGTGGCTGGTGGCGTTGTGTTGAAACTGCTGAGCTTTGTTTAGCCCTGCCAGTGCTTAACCCATGGCATAACCAAGCCTTGTTTTCCTCACAGCAAGCATTGGGTTTGTGGTTCTGACCACTCTGGCTTTCAACAGCGCTGTTTTTGGTCAGCCTCTAGTGACAGGACAACTCATAAACAAGAGCAAGTGATCATTTCCAAGAAGAATACATTGTGATAGATGTAAAGATAAATCTCCAATTGCTCTTTGAGGAAACAGAAAACAACCATTTTCTTTCTTTCTTTTTTAATCATTTTATTGGGGGCTCACACAGCTCTTATTTATAATGATCCATACATCCATTGTGTCAAGCACATTTGTACATTTGTTGCCATCATCATTTTCAAAACATTTTCTTTCTACTTAAGCCCTTGGTATAAACTCCTCATTCCCCCCACTCTCCCACCCTCCCACCCTCATGAACCCTTGATAAATTATAAATTATTATTATTTTCATATCTTACACTGTCTGCTGTCTCCCTTCACCCATGTTTCTATTGTTCGTCACCTGGGTGGGTGGGGTTATATGTCGATCATTGCGATCAGTTACCCCTTTCTCCCCCTGCTCCCTCCACCTTCCCCCTACCCTCATGGTACTCCCATTATTGTTCCTGAGGGGTTTATCTGTCCTGGATTCCATGTGTTGGGAGCTCTTATCTGTACCAGTGTACATACTCTGGTCTAGCCTGATTTGTAAGGTAGAACTAGGGTCATGATAGTGGGGAGGAGAAAGCATTAAAGAACTAGAGGAATCTTGTATATTTCATCAGTGCTATACTGCATACTGGCTGGCTCATCCTTTCCTTGTGATCCTTCTGAGAAGGGATGTTCAATTGTCTACAGATGGGCTTTGGGTCTCCACTCTACTCCACCACATTTGAATCTATATGATTATTTGTTTTGGGTCTTCTGATGTCTGATACCTGATCCTGTAGACACTACATGATCATGCAGGCTGGTGTGCTTCTTCCCTGTGGGCTTTGTTGCTTCTCAGCCAGATGGCTGCTTGTATCTTCAAGCCTTTAAGACCCCAGATGTTATATCTTTTAGTAGCTAGCACCATCGGCTTTCTTCATCACATTTGCTTATGCACACATTCTGTCTTCAGCGAGCTTGTCAGGTGGGTGAGCATCACCGAATGCAGAGTTATTAGAACAAAATGTTCTTGTACTGGGGGAGTGCTTGAGTAGAGGTCCATTGTCCATCTGCTACCTTAATACTTACATATACATAGATCTATGTCCCTATCATTATATATAAATCTATTTACATATGTACATGCCTGTATTTAGACCTCTATAAGTGTCCTTTGCCTCCTAGTTCTTTCCTCTATGTACTTTTATTTTCCTCTTGTCCCACTATCATGTTTGACCTTAATTCAGCTTTCAGTAATTCCTGTTGGCTACATTGCACTTGATCAAACCTCACCAGGGATTCTCCACCTTCCTCGCCATCAATTTTACATCACTTGTTGTTTCTTTGTCCCTGGATTTGTTGTCTCCCCCTCTCCCATGTTACCCTGGAACTGCTGGTTCCATTGTTTTCTCCTCGTGATTGTTTATCCTGCCTATCTTATATAGATAGAAGCAGAGGGGGAAAAAAAGCCTATAAATAGTTTCAGGTCTGTCTGTTGACCCTTATGAATGTTTTCCGATCGAGTCTGATGAGGTGCCATGCCCTGCCCTCCAAGTCTATTTTTGGGGTTCCTTGGGAAGTTCATTGCTTTGCTCCCCTTACTGCTGCTGTTGCACTCCCTTTCTGTTTCATCCCTGCGTGGGGTGGGGGAGGGGGGCAGGGGTGTCAGATCCAACACAATTCCCGCATTGTTTCTCCAGTGCTGTCCCCTGTAGTGCTATGGGCCAGTGAGGGGATGCCATGTCTCATGGTGGGGCCAGCTCTACAGTCCTCTGTGCACTGGCTGCTCCGAGCAGGAATATTGTCCTCAGGGCTTGGTGGGCCTGGATGTGGTTCTCTCTCTCTCTCTCTCCTTCCATATTAGTTGTCTTCCATGTGTTCTGAGCAGACCAGCCCCTTCCCCCATGCTGTATTTTCAGTGCTGTCCTCTTCAGTGTGTTCTTCTCGGGAGTGGGGTCCCCGTAACTGGTATTGGGGCCAGCCCCGCAGACCTCTTCATGTCAGTACAGAAAACAACCATTTTCATAGCCGCTACCTCAAAAAGCCCTACAGTCATTTAAAACTGATTTATGTGCTCCACTGATGAGCTAAATCTCATCAAGTTAGAGTGCTTGATTGAACATAGTCACGTATAGACAAAA